TGCTGTAATTGAGGCATGGGAATCGGTCACAGATGCAGAGATTAGGGACATCATTCACACTATGCCACAGCGCTATGCAGATGTTATAGCTGCTCGGGGAGCATACACAAAATGGTAGTCTAAATAGCTTCATTTTTTATGAAAGTGACCAAAAGCAGCGTGCCATAAGCATGCCATAAGTGGTGCGCCTAGGTGTGGAAAGAGAGTGGCAAGGGGTCTGAGCATTAACCTTTAAAAGGGCCTGTACGTAGTATTTACCCTTGGAGAAAGGTAGCTTGGCAGCCGTGCAGTAGCTTGGCAGCGGCAGCGGCAGCGGCAGCGGCAGTGGCAGCGGCACAGCATCTGTGGTGTGGGGGGGGATGTGGATCTTGTTTCACCAATCGGTGAGAGTTCGGGGCAGTATGGAGGGCGGTGTGACAAAAAAGCTCCGTGCGCTCATAGCGCAGAAACAATATAGTATAAGTTTTTTTCTTAAATTATCTTTTGTGGTTTCAACAATAAATCACAACACAACGACGCAAAGAGATAGATACAACGACACAACAACAACCAACCATCATAATGTCGTCGTCGCAAGAGAAGCAAACAAAGTCTTTACGTGCTAGAGTCGAAGCGGAAGCTGAAGTTAAAGCTGGAGTCGATAATAATCCAAGCTTTAGTTTCGAGCCCGAATTCCTTGAGAACCGCAACGACCAATTCGAGCACCACACAGGTAAGATTGATTTGCGATCCGTCTACTACAACTATTAACTTCTAGTCTTAGCTCGTTTCTCGAACAATTCTGCTACCAACCCCGCTTTCGACGATAATACCGAAAACGAAGACGAAATAACCGCAAAGCAAGTGATGGACGTTTTCATGGAAGTTCAACGCGAAGAGCGAGAACGCGGAGAGCGAAACCAAGAACGCGTACAGCGAAACCAAGAACACGTACAACGAATCTTCTTGCTGTTCATCTTTTTATTGTTCTTCGTCATCCTCTTGCTTTTACTCATCCTTTTGCGCTGGGAGAGATATGCTGGATACCGCTATTAAACCTGTCAAGTACGCCGCCTATTCATTCACGTTCTCAATTTCGAAAGCAGTAAGTATTAACAAGTCTATCCAGGTCCGTAACTTCGTCCCTCGATCGTCCCTCGACACAACACTGCCGGTCCTTTCGATGGTAGTATCAAAGATTATATCGGGTGGTAGAAGTAAGGCAAAGCATGGTCTGGCGTTTGGAATTCTGAGTATCGATGGAGCATAGATCTCTTTCAAGAGTATTGCATTGGTGGCTAGCTAAGTGAATGGATAGATGGATGCGGCATATGACAAGGCAAAGCATGGTCTGGCGTTTGGAGTTTTGAGTATCGATGGAGCATAAATTTCTTTCAGGAATATGCATTGGTGGGCTAGCTAAGTGAATGGATGGATGCGGCATATGCAATCAGTCGTCAATCCAGTCTCAATTCAATCACTCAAACCCACTACTTGATTCGTGAAGTCATCCAGGTTCTTGTCGATCCCATAAAGTGATGTCGTTGGGAGCAGCCGTACGTAGCTTGGCAGCGGCAGCGGCAAAAAAAGGGTGCAGTCAAGTCGGGGTATAAAGGTGGTGTCTTTTATTCAGCTAAGGAAGTTGAGGTAACCTTAAGGGCACCCTAAACTAGTGTCCATGTAACCACCATGCCAACAACTCCATTTGATTAAGTATTGCTCCCGCAATACAATTCGGCCATTGAGAGCAAAATGAAGATGATATGTGCAAACGCAGGTTATGTATGTCTATTGATTCCTCCACAGGCACCCTGTAGCAGTGTCCCTGAGTTGGCGCAGGCCAATCCACAACCCACCGCAACCAGGTAGCAGCCCCGGTATCATAAAGACCTTGAAATCCATGCGAAAAGGTGCAAATCCTGGCAAGTGATAGAATTCCGAAAAGTGGAGTCTTCCAAAGGGGTGTCGAATGCAAATGCAAACGTTGAGAGATACAATGAAATAGGGATCCACGTGGGGATATCGAGGTATGAAATAAGTCACCACAGATACCGACCCTATTTCGAGAGCTACCTCGTAAGCTTAAGGATCCATCCTTTAAAGGTTCGGACCTATCTAGGGAAATGTGAATGTCGAATTGTATTTTTATTTCTAATCTTTTCCTCTAGAACGAATTTTCTTAAACCTTCTTCCACCCAACCGTCTAGCACTGAAAAAGCAGCCTTCAGGAAAAAAGTTCCCACGACCTTGCTTTAGTTAGGCTCCATCTTGACTCGAACTAGTTTAGTGAAAACTTTTCCATCTTGTAGTGAAACTAACTTAGAGGGTTGCGGAGTTTCGCGAGCGCGCTTATTAAGTCCCCTATAATGAATAGTCGAAGTGGCCCCTCCCAGCTTTCTCTTAAAGCTTCCCTTAAGTGCCTAGGTCCCTTCTTTCACAATCGAAGTCTCGGCCACCTAAGTGCCATAGGCTCCGCCTACTGGGGTTCCAGTGTCCTTTGGTCTAACGACCTTCATAATAGAGTCAACCCCCTCACCGACCAACCCATAGGTGTGCTTCATAGCTCGTAAAAGTTAATTAGTCTTTGCATAATAAGGAAAAATAAGCTTATCATAAATAGGGAACTCCACATTCAGGCCGTAACCTACATCAAGAGCATAAAAATAAAAGTTATACTTCAAGAGCTCGACGTGATAATCCTTGTTCTCGAATTCCACAAGAAGGCTGTTGATGAGAGTGGTGTTCTTTTGTCTGCATGCGGCCATGAGGTTGCGGATGTCATGTGCAAGGGTGGCGGCCAGCTTGGTAGCATTTCTGCCAGCCATGAGCATCTGAACTAAGTAGCCGTCAAGCTCTTCGGGGTCAGGCTTGTTCCGCTCCTTGGCATTGAGCTTCCAGGCACCCTTGTGGGCAACCTGGGGGCTCTCCATTTCTTTAGGCTCGGTGTTGGCTTCTTTAATAGCCTTCCCATTGCTCACCTTCTTGCGATTGGTTCTGGCAACCTTGGCATCCTTGACTGCGTCCTTGCCACGTCCGTTCTCCTCAAGATGGGTCTCCTTGTCATTCTCGCTCTCCTCTGTGCTATCGCTCTTAGCATCCTCTTCTTCGTCCTTGCCATCACTGGTCAGCTCGTCGTCGGAGGCGATTTGTCCTAGTTGGTACTTGGTGGGGAAGCCGGAATTTGAGTTACTATTATCCTAGGACTTGTAATAGTGTTTCACTTGGTCTTTTCTTGACTTAATATTTTGGCGATATTTATTTAACTATCGCTTGGCATCCGCGTTCCCCTCGAACTTCGACTTAAATGAGGTGATGTTCTAAAAGTCTCTGAAGCGTCGCTAAAAGTTTCTAAGGCAAGCTTTGGTTAGCTTTT